ACCACACAGGTGAGACAGGTACACACATACACAGGTGAGACAGGTACACACACACAGGTGAGACAGGTACACACACAGATGAGACAGGTAGACACACAGGTGAGACAGGTACACACACACAGGTGAGACAGGTAGAAACACACAGGTGAGACAGGTACACACACAGGTGAGACAGGTAGACACACACAGGTGAGACAGGTACACACACACAGGTGAGACAGGTACACACACAGGTGAGACAGGTACACACACACACACACACACACACACACAGGTGAGACAGGTACACACACATACAGGTGAGACAGATACACACACAGATGAGACAGGTAGACATACAGGTGAGACAGATACACACACAGATGAGACAGGTAGACATACAGGTGAGACAGGTACACACACAGATGAGACAGGTACACACACACAGGTCAGACAGGTACACACACAGATGAGACAGGTACACACACACAGGTGAGACAGGTACACACACAGGTGAGACAGGTACACACACACAGGTGAGACAGGTACACACACACAGGTGAGACAGGTAGAAACACACAGGTGAGACAGGTACACACATACAGGTGAGACAGATACACACACAGGTGAGACAGGTAGAAACACACAGGTGAGACAGGTACACACACACAGGTGAGACAGGTACACACACAGGTGAGACAGGTACACACACAGGTGAGACAGGTACACACACACACACACACACACAGGTGAGACAGGTACACACACAGGTGAGACAGGTACACACACAGGTGAGACAGGTACACACACACAGGTGAGACAGGTACACACACAGGTGAGACAGGTACACACACAGGTGAGACAGGTACACACATACACAGGTGAGACAGGTACACACACACAGGTGAGACAGGTACACACACAGATGAGACAGGTAGACACACACAGGTGAGACAGGTAGACACACACAGGTGAGACAGGTACACACACAGGTGAGACAGGTACATACACACACACACACACACACACACACACACAGGTGAGACAGGTACACACACACACACACACACACACACACACAGGTGAGACAGGTAGAAACACACAGGTGAGACAGGTAGACACACACAGGTGAGACAGGTACACACACACACACAGGTGAGACAGGTACACATAGTGCTTTAGAGACTCCTAAAGAACACCTGGCTGATGAATTCACCTTTATTATGCACTAAAGGTCAGAGGTCACCCAATGTTTCTCTTTCAGACCGACATCGACAACGACCTGGTGGGAGACGTGTGTGACACCAACCAGGACATGTACGTGTACACACACACACACACACACACACACACACACACACACACACACACACACTGTGATAGGCTAAGGATGTTGACCAATCACAACAGAGCCGGCCAGCTAACCAATCAGAGCAGACTAGGCTCTGGTTTCAGACAGAGGGTGAAGAGGTGCTGCAGCACAGGTGAGAACATAAAGAGCTTTCTGAACATTAAAGCACTTTATGAACCTGAACATCAGCAGAGGAGGGACTCTTTAATCTGACCTGGGATCTGTATTCCATTTGAGGATCTTTTATGATATGGTCATAAATAGGAGGACCTGTCTCTCTGAGTTAATGGTAACTATTGTAAAGTGATAAATAGGAGGATCTATGTGTCTCTGCAGGGACGGGGACGGGCTGCAGGACACCAGGGACAACTGTCCCGACCTGCCCAACAGCTCTCAGCTGGACTCGGATAACGACGGCCTCGGAGACGCCTGCGACCACGACGACGACAACGACGGCGTCCTGGACGACTACGACAACTGCCGACTCATCGTCAACCCCAACCAGAAGGACTCCGACAGTAACAGCTGCTCTCACACACATCACACAAACATTCACATGCACACACATCACACACATCACACACACATCACACAAACATTCACATGCACACACATCACACACAAACACACACACATCACACAAACATTCACATGCACACACATCACACACACACACACACACACACACAACATTCACATGCACACACATCACACACATCACACACATCACACACATCACACACATGCACACACATCACACACATCACACAAACATTCACATGCACACACATGCACACACATCACACACATCACACACATCACACAAACATTCACATGCACACACATGCACACACATCACACACATCACACACATCACACACATCACACACATCACACACATCACACACATCACACAAACATTCACATGCACACACATGCACACACATCACACACATCCACACACATGCACACACATCACACACATGCACACACATCACACATCACACACATCACACACATCACACACATCCACACACATGCACACATCACACACATGCACACACATCACACACATCACACACATCACACACATCCACACACATGCACACACATCACACACATGCACACACATCACACACATGCACACACATCACACACATCACACACATCACACACATACACACATCACACACATCAAACATCACACACATCACACACATCACACACATGCACACACATGCACACACATCACACACATGCACACACATGCACACACATCACACACATGCACACACATCACACACATCACACACATCACACAAACATTCACATGCACACACATGCACACACATCACACATCACACATCACACACCTGCACACACATGCACACACATACACACACATCACACACATGCACACACATCACACACATCACACAAACATTCACATGCACACACATGCACACACATCACACACATCACACACCATTCAACACATGCACCTACACATGCCACACCACATGCCACACAATCACACCACATGCACCACACATCACACACATCAACACCAAATAACATTCAACACATGCACACACATCACACACATTTTTCACACACATGCCACACCTCACAGCACATCACACACAATTCACTATGCACACAACATACACCACATTCACCACACATCACCACACCATCACACACCGCACACACATTGCACAACATGCACCCACATGCACACCACATGCACACACATCACACACAGCCACACACCATCACACAAACATTCACATGCCAACACAATGCACACACATCACACAAATCACAACACATCACACCACATCACACCAAACATTCACATGCACAACACATGTACACACATCACACACATCACACACATCACACAAACATTCACATGCACACACATGCACACACATCACACACATGCACACACATCACACACATCACACAAACATTCACATACACACACATTCACACACACACACACACATTCACACACATCACACAAACATTCACATGCACACACATGCACACACACATTCACACAGTCGGTGGCTTCCCACACTGAAACAACTGTGTGCGGGGAAGCAGCATTGCATCATGGGAGCTGTAGTCTTCTTGTTTGAAGATTAAAAAATGAACATAATGAGAGGCACATTATTTCTTAGATGAATTAATGTGTTCTTTTTTAATTCATTCTAGGTTTGAGGTATTCCATCATTGGAGCAGCGTTAGGCTTGTTCTCTGTTAGTGTATACCTGAGTGCAGGGTTCCCGCGGGGTCTTAAAAAGTCTTAAAAAGTCTTAAATTTGATAATCTGAATTTAAGGCCTTAAAAAGGTCTTAAATATGACAAAAAAATTAAGAAAGGTCTTAAATATGATTTAGAAGGTCTTAAAAATGATGGGATTTGAAAGGTACTTCTGTGTTGCGATCGTCTAAATGTGTTTTGGGGGAAATGTCCGGGCTGCAAAGTAACCTGTACAATTACTTTGTAAATAATTATGGGACGTATTTCTTCTTTCATAGCAATTTTCCTTCATACTTTCTTGCCGTGAAATAGGTCTTAAATTCTATTCAAAGTGGTCTTAAAAAGGTCTTAAAAAGTCTTACATTTGAGTTGGTGAAACCTGCAGGAACCCTGTGAGTGTATTCACACCTCAGTAACTCACCTGTCTCCCCTCAGTGAACGGGGTGGGGGATGTGTGTGAGGACGACTTCGATAACGACTCGGTGCTGGACCTGGTGGACGCTTGTCCTGAGAGCGCTGAGGTCACGCTGACCGACTTCAGAGCCTATCAGACGGTGATCCTGGACCCCGAGGGCGACGCCCAGATCGACCCCACCTGGGTGGTGCTCAACCAGGTGAGTGTTGAGTGTCTGGTTAAAACACACTCACTGACCGTGCTGTAGTTCCTTTATAGCCCAACATTAGCCACCTTTAGCTTAGCGGTGGTGACGTGAAGTCATGTGACCGTGCTGTAGTTCCTTTATAGCCCAACATTAGCCTCCTTTAGCTTAGCGGTGGTGACGTGAAGTCATGTGACCGTGCTGTAGTTCCTTTATAGCCCAACATTAGCCTCCTTTAGCTTAGCGGTGGTGACGTGAAGTCATGTGACCGTGCTGTAGTTCCTTTATAGCCCAACATTAGCCTCCTTTAGCTTAGCGGTGGTGACGTGAAGTCATGTGACCGTGCTGTAGTTCCTTTATAGCCCAACATTAGCCACCTTTAGCTTAGCGGTGGTGACGTGAAGTCATGTGACCGTGCTGTAGTTCCTTTATAACCCAACATTAGCCACCTTTAGCTTAGCGGTGGTGACGTGAAGTCATGTGACCGTGCTGTAGTTCCTTTATAGCCCAACGTTAGCCTCCTTTAGCTTAGCGGTGATAACGTGAAGTCATGTGACCGTGCTGTAGTTCCTTTATAGCCCAACATTAGCCACCTTTAGCTTAGCAGTGGTGACGTGAAGTCATGTGACCGTGCTGTAGTTCCTTTATAGCCCAACATTAGCCACCTTTAGCTTAGCGGTGGTGACGTGAAGTCATGTGACCGTGCTGTAGTTCCTTTATAGCCCAACATTAGCCACCTGTAGCTTAGCGGTGGTGACGTGAAGTCATGTGACCGTGCTGTAGTTCCTTTATAGCCCAACATTAGCCACCTTTAGCTTAGCGGTGGTGACGTGAAGTCATGTGACCGTGCTGTAGTTCCTTTATAGCCCAACATTAGCCTCCTTTAGCTTAGCGGTGGTGACGTGAAGTCATGTGACCGTGCTGTAGTTCCTTTATAGCCCAACATTAGCCTCCTTTAGCTTAGCGGTGGTGACGTGAAGTCATGTGACCGTGCTGTAGTTCCTTTATAGCCCAACATTAGCCACCTTTAGCTTAGCGGTGGTGACGTGAAGTCATGTGACCGTGCTGTAGTTCCTTTATAACCCAACATTAGCCACCTTTAGCTTAGCGGTGGTGACGTGAAGTCATGTGACCGTGCTGTAGTTCCTTTATAGCCCAACATTAGCCACCTTTAGCTTAGCAGTGGTGACGTGAAGTCATGTGACCGTGCTGTAGTTCCTTTATAGCCCAACATTAGCCACCTTTAGCTTAGCGGTGGTGACGTGAAGTCATGTGACCGTGCTGTAGTTCCTTTATAGCCCAACATTAGCCACCTTTAGCTTAGCGGTGGTGACGTGAAGTCATGTGACCGTGCTGTAGTTCCTTTATAGCCCAACATTAGCCACCTTTAGCTTAGCAGTGGTGACGTGAAGTCATGTGACCGTGCTGTAGTTCCTTTATAGCCCAACATTAGCCACCTTTAGCTTAGCGGTGGTGACGTGAAGTCATGTGACCGCGCTGTAGTTCCTTTATAGCCCAACATTAGCCTCCTTTAGCTTAGCGGTGGTGACGTGAAGTCATGTGACCGTGCTGTAGTTCCTTTATAGCCCAACATTAGCCACCTTTAGCTTAGCGGTGGTGACGTGAAGTCATGTGACCGTGCTGTAGTTCCTTTATAGCCCAACATTAGCCACCTTAGCTTAGCAGTGGTGACGTGAAGTCATGTGACCGTGCTGTAGTTCCTTTATAGCCCAACATTAGCCACCTTTAGCTTAGCGGTGGTGACGTGAAGTCATGTGACCGTGCTGTAGTTCCTTTATAGCCCAACATTAGCCTCCTTTAGCTTAGCGGTGGTGACGTGAAGTCATGTGACCGTGCTGTAGTTCCTTTATAGCCCAACATTAGCCTCCTTTAGCTTAGCGGTGGTGACGTGAAGTCATGTGACCGTGCTGTAGTTCCTTTATAGCCCAACATTAGCCACCTTTAGCTTAGCGGTGGTGACGTGAAGTCATGTGACCGTGCTGTAGTTCCTTTATAGCCCAACATTAGCCTCCTTTAGCTTAGCGGTGGTGATGTGAAGTCATGTGACCGTGCTGTAGTTCCTTTATAGCCCAACATTAGCCACCTTTAGCTTAGCGGTGGTGACGTGAAGTCATGTGACCGTGCTGTAGTTCCTTTATAGCCCAACATTAGCCACCTTTAGCTTAGCGGTGGTGACGTGAAGTCATGTGACCGTGCTGTAGTTCCTTTATAGCCCAACATTAGCCACCTTTAGCTTAGCGGTGGTGACGTGAAGTCATGTGACCGTGCTGTAGTTCCTTTATAGCCCAACATTAGCCACCTTTAGCTTAGCGGTGGTGACGTGAAGTCATGTGACCGTGCTGTAGTTCCTTTATAGCCCAACATTAGCCGCCTTTAGCTTAGCGGTGGTGACGTGAAGTCATGTGACCGTGCTGTAGTTCCTTTATAGCCCAACATTAGCCTCCTTTAGCTTAGCGATGGTGACGTGAAGTCATGTGACCGTGCTGTAGTTCCTTTATAGCCCAACATTAGCCACCTTTAGCTTAGCGGTGGTGACGTGAAGTCATGTGACCGTGCTGTAGTTCCTTTATAGCCCAACATTAGCCACCTTTAGCTTAGCGGTGGTGACGTGAAGTCATGTGACCGTGCTGTAGTTCCTTTATAACCCAACATTAGCCACCTTTAGCTTAGCGGTGGTGACGTGAAGTCATGTGACCGTGCTGTAGTTCCTTTATAGCCCAACATTAGCCACCTTTAGCTTAGCAGTGGTGACGTGAAGTCATGTGACCGTGCTGTAGTTCCTTTATAGCCCAACATTAGCCACCTTTAGCTTAGCGGTGGTGACGTGAAGTCATGTGACCGTGCTGTAGTTCCTTTATAGCCCAACATTAGCCTCCTTTAGCTTAGCGGTGGTGACGTGAAGTCATGTGACCGTGCTGTAGTTCCTTTATAGCCCAACATTAGCCACCTTTAGCTTAGCGGTGGTGACGTGAAGTCATGTGACCGTGCTGTAGTTCCTTTATAGCCCAACATTAGCCACCTTTAGCTTAGCAGTGGTGACGTGAAGTCATGTGACCGTGCTGTAGTTCCTTTATAGCCCAACATTAGCCACCTTTAGCTTAGCGGTGGTGACGTGAAGTCATGTGACCGTGCTGTAGTTCCTTTATAGCCCAACATTAGCCTCCTTTAGCTTAGCGGTGGTGACGTGAAGTCATGTGACCGTGCTGTAGTTCCTTTATAGCCCAACATTAGCCACCTTTAGCTTAGCGGTGGTGACGTGAAGTCATGTGACCGTGCTGTAGTTCCTTTATAGCCCAACATTAGCCTCCTTTAGCTTAGCGGTGGTGATGTGAAGTCATGTGACCGTGCTGTAGTTCCTTTATAGCCCAACATTAGCCACCTTTAGCTTAGCGGTGGTGACGTGAAGTCATGTGACCGTGCTGTAGTTCCTTTATAGCCCAACATTAGCCTCCTTTAGCTTAGCGGTGGTGATGTGAAGTCATGTGACCGTGCTGTAGTTCCTTTATAGCCCAACATTAGCCACCTTTAGCTTAGCGGTGGTGACGTGAAGTCATGTGACCGTGCTGTAGTTCCTTTATAGCCCAACATTAGCCACCTTTAGCTTAGCGGTGGTGACGTGAAGTCATGTGACCGTGCTGTAATTCCTTTATAGCCCAACATTAGCCTCCTTTAGCTTAGCGGTGGTGACGTGAAGTCATGTGACCGTGCTGTAATTCCTTTATAGCCCAACATTAGCCTCCTTTAGCTTAGCGGTGGTGACGTGAAGTCATGTGACCGTGCTGTAATTCCTTTATAGCCCAACATTAGCCGCCTTTAGCTTAGCGGTGGTGACGTGAAGTCATGTGACCGTGCTGTAATTCCTTTATAGCCCAACATTAGCCACCTTTAGCTTAGCGGTGGTGACGTGAAGTCATGTGACCGTGCTGTAGTTCCTTTATAGCCCAACATTAGCCACCTTTAGCTTAGCGGTGGTGACGTGAAGTCATGTGACCGTGCTGTAATTCCTTTATAGCCCAACATTAGCCGCCTTTAGCTTAGCGGTGGTGACGTGAAGTCATGTGACCGTGCTGTAGTTCCTTTATAGCCCAACATTAGCCGCCTTTAGCTTAGCGGTGGTGACGTGAAGTCATGTGACCGTGCTGTAATTCCTTTATAGCCCAACATTAGCCGCCTTTAGCTTAGCGGTGGTGACCTGAAGTCATGTGACCGTACTGTAGTTCCTTTATAGCCCAACATTAGCCTCCTTTAGCTTAGCGGTGGTGACGTGAAGTCATGTGACCGTGCTGTAGTTCCTTTATAGCCCAACATTAGCCGCCTTTAGCTTAGCGGTGGTGACCTGAAGTCATGTGACCGTGCTGTAATTCCTTTATAGCCCAACATTAGCCACCTTTAGCTTAGCGGTGGTGACGTGAAGTCATGTGACCGTACTGTAGTTCCTTTATAGCCCAACATTAGCCACCTTTAGCTTAGCGGTGGTGACGTGAAGTCATGTGACCGTGCTGTAATTCCTTTATAGCCCAACATTAGCCGCCTTTAGCTTAGCGGTGGTGACCTGAAGTCATGTGACCGTACTGTAGTTCCTTTATAGCCCAACATTAGCCACCTTTAGCTTAGCGGTGGTGACGTGAAGTCATGTGACCGTGCTGTAGTTCCTTTATAGCCCAACATTAGCCACCTTTAGCTTAGCGGTGGTGACGTGAAGTCATGTGACCGTGCTGTAATTCCTTTATAGCCCAACATTAGCCACCTTTAGCTTAGCGGTGGTGACGTGAAGTCATGTGACCGTGCTGTAATTCCTTTATAGCCCAACATTAGCCACCTTTAGCTTAGCGGTGGTGACGTGAAGTCATGTGACCGTGCTGTAGTTCCTTTATAGCCCAACATTAGCCACCTTTAGCTTAGCGGTGGTGACGTGAAGTCATGTGACCGTGCTGTAGTTCCTTTATAGCCCAACATTAGCCACCTTTAGCTTAGCGGTGGTGACGTGAAGTCATGTGACCGTGCTGTAGTTCCTTTATAGCCCAACATTAGCCACCTTTAGCTTAGCGGTGGTGACGTGAAGTCATGTGACCGTGCTGTAGTTCCTTTATAGCCCAACATTAGCCTCCTTTAGCTTAGCGGTGGTGACGTGAAGTCATGTGACCGTGCTGTAGTTCCTTTATAGCCCAACATTAGCCTCCTTTAGCTTAGCGGTGGTGACGTGAAGTCATGTGACCGTGCTGTAGTTCCTTTATAGCCCAACATTAGCCACCTTTAGCTTAGCGGTGGTGACGTGAAGTCATGTGACCGTGCTGTAGTTCCTTTATAGCCCAACATTAGCCTCCTTTAGCTTAGCGGTGGTGATGTGAAGTCATGTGACCGTGCTGTAGTTCCTTTATAGCCCAACATTAGCCACCTTTAGCTTAGCGGTGGTGACGTGAAGTCATGTGACCGTGCTGTAGTTCCTTTATAGCCCAACATTAGCCACCTTTAGCTTAGCGGTGGTGACGTGAAGTCATGTGACCGTGCTGTAGTTCCTTTATAGCCCAACATTAGCCACCTTTAGCTTAGCAGTGGTGACGTGAAGTCATGTGACCGTGCTGTAGTTCCTTTATAGCCCAACATTAGCCACCTTTAGCTTAGCGGTGGTGACGTGAAGTCATGTGACCGTGCTGTAGTTCCTTTATAGCCCAACATTAGCCTCCTTTAGCTTAGCGGTGGTGACGTGAAGTCATGTGACCGTGCTGTAGTTCCTTTATAGCCCAACATTAGCCTCCTTTAGCTTAGCGGTGGTGACGTGAAGTCATGTGACCGTGCTGTAGTTCCTTTATAGCCCAACATTAGCCACTTTTAGCTTAGCGGTGGTGACGTGAAGTCATGTGACCGTGCTGTAGTTCCTTTATAGCCCAACATTAGCCACCTTTAGCTTAGCGGTGGTGACGTGAAGTCATGTGACCGTGCTGTAGTTCCTTTATAACCCAACATTAGCCACCTTTAGCTTAGCGGTGGTGACGTGAAGTCATGTGACCGTGCTGTAGTTCCTTTATAGCCCAACATTAGCCACCTTTAGCTTAGCAGTGGTGACGTGAAGTCATGTGACCGTGCTGTAGTTCCTTTATAGCCCAACATTAGCCACCTTTAGCTTAGCGGTGGTGACGTGAAGTCATGTGACCGTGCTGTAGTTCCTTTATAGCCCAACATTAGCCACCTTTAGCTTAGCGGTGGTGACGTGAAGTCATGTGACCGTGCTGTAGTTCCTTTATAGCCCAACATTAGCCACCTTTAGCTTAGCGGTGGTGACGTGAAGTCATGTGACCGTGCTGTAGTTCCTTTATAGCCCAACATTAGCCTCCTTTAGCTTAGCGGTGGTGACGTGAAGTCATGTGACCGTGCTGTAGTTCCTTTATAGCCCAACATTAGCCACCTTTAGCTTAGCGGTGGTGACGTGAAGTCATGTGACCGTGCTGTAGTTCCTTTATAGCCCAACATTAGCCACCTTTAGCTTAGCAGTGGTGACGTGAAGTCATGTGACCGTGCTGTAGTTCCTTTATAGCCCAACATTAGCCACCTTTAGCTTAGCGGTGGTGACGTGAAGTCATGTGACCGTGCTGTAGTTCCTTTATAGCCCAACATTAGCCTCCTTTAGCTTAGCGGTGGTGACGTGAAGTCATGTGACCGTGCTGTAGTTCCTTTATAGCCCAACATTAGCCACCTTTAGCTTAGCGGTGGTGACGTGAAGTCATGTGACCGTGCTGTAGTTCCTTTATAGCCCAACATTAGCCTCCTTTAGCTTAGCGGTGGTGATGTGAAGTCATGTGACCGTGCTGTAGTTCCTTTATAGCCCAACATTAGCCACCTTTAGCTTAGCGGTGGTGACGTGAAGTCATGTGACCGTGCTGTAGTTCCTTTATAGCCCAACATTAGCCTCCTTTAGCTTAGCGGTGGTGATGTGAAGTCATGTGACCGTGCTGTAGTTCCTTTATAGCCCAACATTAGCCACCTTTAGCTTAGCGGTGGTGACGTGAAGTCATGTGACCGTGCTGTAGTTCCTTTATAGCCCAACATTAGCCACCTTTAGCTTAGCGGTGGTGACGTGAAGTCATGTGACCGTGCTATAGTTCCTTTATAGCCCAACATTAGCCACCTTTAGCTTAGCGGTGGTGACGTGAAGTCATGTGACCGTGCTGTAGTTCCTTTATAGCCCAACATTAGCCACCTTTAGCTTAGCGGTGGTGACGTGAAGTCATGTGACCGTGCTGTAATTCCTTTATAGCCCAACATTAGCCTCCTTTAGCTTAGCGGTGGTGACGTGAAGTCATGTGACCGTGCTGTAATTCCTTTATAGCCCAACATTAGCCGCCTTTAGCTTAGCGGTGGTGACGTGAAGTCATGTGACCGTGCTGTAATTCCTTTATAGCCCAACATTAGCCACCTTTAGCTTAGCGGTGGTGACGTGAAGTCATGTGACCGTGCTGTAGTTCCTTTATAGCCCAACATTAGCCACCTTTAGCTTAGCGGTGGTGACGTGAAGTCATGTGACCGTGCTGTAATTCCTTTATAGCCCAACATTAGCCGCCTTTAGCTTAGCGGTGGTGACGTGAAGTCATGTGACCGTGCTGTAGTTCCTTTATAGCCCAACATTAGCCGCCTTTAGCTTAGCGGTGGTGACCTGAAGTCATGTGACCGTGCTGTAATTCCTTTATAGCCCAACATTAGCCGCCTTTAGCTTAGCGGTGGTGACCTGAAGTCATGTGACCGTACTGTAGTTCCTTTATAGCCCAACATTAGCCTCCTTTAGCTTAGCGGTGGTGACGTGAAGTCATGTGACCGTGCTGTAGTTCCTTTATAGCCCAACATTAGCCGCCTTTAGCTTAGCGGTGGTGACCTGAAGTCATGTGACCGTGCTGTAATTCCTTTATAGCCCAACATTAGCCACCTTTAGCTTAGCGGTGGTGACGTGAAGTCATGTGACCGTACTGTAGTTCCTTTATAGCCCAACATTAGCCACCTTTAGCTTAGCGGTGGTGACGTGAAGTCATGTGACCGTGCTGTAATTCCTTTATAGCCCAACATTAGCCGCCTTTAGCTTAGCGGTGGTGACCTGAAGTCATGTGACCGTACTGTAGTTCCTTTATAGCCCAACATTAGCCACCTTTAGCTTAGCGGTGGTGACGTGAAGTCATGTGACCGTGCTGTAGTTCCTTTATAGCCCAACATTAGCCACCTTTAGCTTAGCGGTGGTGACGTGAAGTCATGTGACCGTGCTGTAGTTCCTTTATAGCCCAACATTAGCCACCTTTAGCTTAGCGGTGGTGACGTGAAGTCATGTGACCGTGCTGTAATTCCTTTATAGCCTAACATTAGCCACCTTTAGCTTAGCGGTGGTGACGTGAAGTCATGTGACCGTGCTGTAGTTCCTTTATAGCCCAACATTAGCCACCTTTAGCTTAGCGGTGGTCACGTGAAGTCATGTGACCGTGCTGTAATTCCTTTATAGCCCAACATTAGCCACCTTTAGCTTAGCGGTGGTGACGTGAAGTCATGTGACCGTGCTGTAGTTCCTTTATAGCCCAACATTAGCCACCTTTAGCTTAGCGGTGGTGACGTGAAGTCATGTGACCGTGCTGTAGTTCCTTTATAGCCCAACATTAGCCACCTTTAGCTTAGCGGTGGTGACGTGAAGTCATGTGACCGTGCTGTAGTTCCTTTATAGCCTCAGATCCTAATCTGTGGTTCTGTCCTCAGGGGATGGAGATCGTCCAGACGATGAACAGTGACCCGGGCCTCGCTGTGGGTGCGTGACTTTAATATATAATAATATTCCCTCAGAGTCAGAGCCCCCCCTGACCCCCCCCCCCCTCTCTCTGCAGGCTACACTGCCTTTAACGGCGTGGACTTCGAGGGAACGTTCCACGTGAACACGGTGACGGACGACGACTACGCCGGCTTCGTCTTCGGGTACCAGGACTCGTCCAGCTTCTACGTGGTGATGTGGAAGCAGACGGAGCAGACGTACTGGCAGTCGCTGCCCTTCAGAGCGGCTGCGCAGCCCGCCCTGCAGCTCAAGGTAAAGACACACTTAACGAGTCAGAGCTCCTTCATCTGTCCCTCAGAGGAGACACTTAACGAGTCAGAGCTCCTTCATCTGTCCCTCAGAGGAGACACTTAACGAGTCAGAGCTCCTTCATCTGTCCCTCAGAGGAGACACTTAACGAGTCAGAGCTCCTTCATCTGTCCCTCAGAGGAGACACTTAACGAGTCAGAGCTCCTTCATCTGTCCCTCAGAGGAGACACTTAACGAGTCAGAGCTCCTTCATCTGTCCCTCAGAGGAGACACTTAACGAGTCAGAGCTCCTTCATCTGTCCCTCAGAGAGGACACTTAACGAGTCAGAGCTCCTTCATCTGTCCCTCAGAGGAGACACTTAACGAGTCAGAGCTCCTTCATCTGTCCCTCAGAGGAGACACTTAACGAGTCAGAGCTCCTTCATCTGTCCCTCAGAGGAGACACTTAACCAGTCAGAGCTCCTTCATCTGTCCCTCAGAGGACACACTTAACGAGTCAGAGCTCCTTCATCTGTCCCTCAGAGGAGACACTTAACGAGTCAGAGCTGCTTCATCTGTCCCTCAGAGGAGACACTTAACGAGTCAGAGCTGCTTCATCTGTCCCTC